TAAGGGGCCAAGACATTTATAGTAGCCAAGATGAAGCTACTACTTCTTCATCTTCAAGTGAGGATGAAGAAGAAGCAAGTGAGGGAGAATCATGTGAGGTCACTTACCCTTACAATGGGGAACTTCTTATGATGAGAAGGGTCCTCAATAACCAACTTAGTGATACACAATCCTAAAGAGAGAACATTTTTCACACAAGATGTAATATTTCAAACAAAGCTTGTTCTCTAATTGTGGATAGTGGATCTTGGTGCAATTGTTGTAGCACTAGGATGGTTGAGAAGTTGGGATTAACTACCACACCCCGTCCCAAACCTTATCAACTTCATTGGCTCAATGATCATGGGGATATGGTGATTAACCAACAAGTGGAAGTAGAGTTTTCCATTGGGAACTATCAAGATAAAGTCAAATGTGATGTAGTTCCCATGGAAGCTTGTCATATTTTGTTGGGTAGGCCATGGCAATTTGATAAGCAAACACACCATGATGGCCTAACTAATAAAATAACTTTCACTCACAAGGGTAAGAAGTTTGAGCTTCATCCTCTATCACCTTCACAAGTGATGGAAGATCAAGTACAAATGAAGACCAAACGTGAGCAAGAGAAAGGAAAAGAAAATCAAAAAAAGAAAGAAAAAAAAACTTCTAAAAACTAGCACTCAAGAGGATTCTAGAGAGTCTAGTGTTCCCTCTCTAGAGATAGTTCAAGAAGAGACATTTGAAACAAAAACTTTACAAAAAAACCCTCTCTTACTTGAACCATCTTCTCATGTCCTCATGTGTCGAGGAACACTCACATGTACTGCCACAAGTTCTTTGGAAACTTCTCTACCTCTTTAAGTTAAAAATATTTTAAAAGAATTTGATGATGTATTTCCTAGTGAAGGCCCTATGGGACTTCCACCTTTTAGGGGAATAGAACATCAAATAGATCTTGTGCCTGGGGCTATTCTACCCAATAGACCAGCCTATAGGAGAAATCCACAAGAAACTAAAGAGATAGAGAAGCAAGTACAAGAATTGTTGGATAAGGGTTGGATTCAAAAAAGTCTAAGCCCTTGTGCTGTACCTGTTTTCTTGGTGCCAAAAAAAGATGGAAAATGGAGGATGTGTTGTGACTGTAGGGCCATCAACAACATCGCCATAAAATATAGGCACCGAATTCCTAGGCTTGATGACATGCTTGATGAGTTGCATGGATCATCCATATTTTCCAAAATAGATCTTAAAAGTGGATATCACCAAATTAGAATCAAGGAAGGTGATGAATGGTTAGTAATGCCTTTTGGGCTTACTAATGCACCTACCACATTCATGAGGCTAATGAATCATGCCCTTAGGGATTGCATTGGTAGATTTGTAGTTGTTTATTTTGATGATATCTTAATCTATAGCCAAAGTTTAAGTGATCATGTTGATCACCTAAGACAAGTCTTACTTGTTCTTAGAGATAATCACTTGTTTGCCATTATAGACAAGTGCACTTTTTGTGTGGATAATGTTATTTTCCTAGGGTTTGTGGTGAGTAAAAAAGGGTTCATGTGGACCCCGAGAAAATCAAAGCCATTCAAGAATGGCCTATTCCTACTAATGTTAGTGAAGTTAGGAGCTTCATATAGGCACCGAATTCCTAGGCTTGATGACATGCTTGATGAGTTGCATGGATCATCCATATTTTCCAAAATAGATCTTAAAAGTGGATATCACCAAATTAGAATCAAGGAAGGTGATGAATGGTTAGTAATGCCTTTTGGGCTTACTAATGCACCTACCACATTCATGAGGCTAATGAATCATGCCCTTAGGGATTGCATTGGTAGATTTGTAGTTGTTTATTTTGATGATATCTTAATCTATAGCCAAAGTTTAAGTGATCATGTTGATCACCTAATAAAATATTTTTAACTTAAAGAGGTAGAGAAGTTTCCAAAGAACTTGTGGCAGTACATGTGAGTGTTCCTCGACACATGAGGACATGAGAAGATGGTTCAAGTAAGAGAGGGTTTTTTTGTAAAGTTTTTGTTTCAAATGTCTCTTCTTGAACTATCTCTAGAGAGGGAACACTAGACTCTCTAGAATCCTCTTGAGTGCTAGTTTTTAGAAGTTTTTTTTTCTTTCTTTTTTTGATTTTCTTTTCCTTTCTCTTGCTCACGTTTGGTCTTCATTTGTACTTGATCTTCCATCACTTGTGAAGGTGATAGAGGATGAAGCATATTTTAAAAGAATTTGATGATGTATTTCCTAGTGAAGGCCCTATGGGACTTCCACCTTTTAGGGGAATAGAACATCAAATAGATCTTGTGCCTGGGGCTATTCTACCCAATAGACCAGCCTATAGGAGAAATCCACAAGAAACTAAAGAGATAGAGAAGCAAGTACAAGAATTGTTGGATAAGGGTTGGATTCAAAAAAGTCTAAGCCCTTGTGCTGTACCTGTTTTCTTGGTGCCAAAAAAAGATGGAAAATGGAGGATGTGTTGTGACTGTAGGGCCATCAACAACATCGCCATAAAATATAGGCACCGAATTCCTAGGCTTGATGACATGCTTGATGAGTTGCATGGATCATCCATATTTTCCAAAATAGATCTTAAAAGTGGATATCACCAAATTAGAATCAAGGAAGGTGATGAATGGTTAGTAATGCCTTTTGGGCTTACTAATGCACCTACCACATTCATGAGGCTAATGAATCATGCCCTTAGGGATTGCATTGGTAGATTTGTAGTTGTTTATTTTGATGATATCTTAATCTATAGCCAAAGTTTAAGTGATCATGTTGATCACCTAAGACAAGTCTTACTTGTTCTTAGAGATAATCACTTGTTTGCCATTATAGACAAGTGCACTTTTTGTGTGGATAATGTTATTTTCCTAGGGTTTGTGGTGAGTAAAAAAGGGTTCATGTGGACCCCGAGAAAATCAAAGCCATTCAAGAATGGCCTATTCCTACTAATGTTAGTGAAGTTAGGAGCTTCCATGGATTGGCAAGCTTTTATAGAAGATTTGTTCCTAACTTCTCTACATTAGCTTCACCTCTCAATGAGTTGGTGAAGAAAGATGTGGTCTTTTTGTGGCAAGAAAAACATAATTTAACATTCCAAGAGCTTAAGCAAAAACTCACTCAAGCACCTGTTCTAGCTCTCCCTGATTTTAGTAAAACCTTTGAGCTAGAATGTGATGCTTCAGGTCTTGGCATAGGAGCTGTGTTGTTACAAGGTGGTCACCCCATTATATATATATATATATATATATATATGCTTAAATATATTTTTAGTCCTACAAATTTAGGGTAAACTTGTTTTTGGTTCCTCAAATTTAAAATTGTTGTTTTTAGTCCTTGTAATTTTAAAAAACAATCTTATTTTAATCTTTATATTCAAATTTTGTTAAAAAATCTACCAAATATTATTGCATAAATATATATATAAAAAAAAGACTATTTAAAGCAAACTAGTCAAAGTTTGACCTAAAGTAGAGAAATGTTATAACCAATAAAAGGGGGTTGGATTCGGCGCGCCTTGGTGGAGGATTGTCTGGAGGTATAGAGAGAAGAAAACTCCAATTTGAATTCTTAATTTTAATTTTTAATTTTTATAAAAATTAATAAAATATAAGAAAGAGATTTGAGCCGTTAGATTATGAGTCCAGGATAAACCGAATGTAATTCAAGTGTATACATTATACAATGTAATTCTATCCTGAATGTGTTAATAAAAGGAAAAGTCCAACTGAAGGTTGGTATATTCCCAGCTCTCCTGAATCCCGATCTTGTGTTGACTTGCATCAATGGAGGTAATGCTTGAATCAATGGGTGCTTTCGCCAAAGAAGCCATTGATCGAAGCCTCACTGAGATGCGGACAATCTTCAAAAAGAAGGCCTCAGATGATAGCCAAATCGAGATCCTTGACAAGATCGCTGATGAGATAAACAATAGCGATGTGAAAGCCCAGGTTATTTTGAAGCAAAAGCTTGACAACATGGTGATGGATATGGAGAACTTGGACACCGAAACCTCCAACTATGCCTCCAAGTCGAAACTCCCTTTCTTCTCCAGAATCGGTTCTTCTAAGAAACGCCTCAACGTGGCTCAAAGAGATGAGAAAGTCATGGAGAACCTGGAACGCGTTGCAGACAAGGTAAAATATTTGAACGTGGAGAGGAAAGAAGCGGTGGGTGAATCTGGGGAAGATTTGGAACTGGTTGGGAGAGAAAAGGAAAAGGAGGAAATTATAGATCAGCTCATGTTGCTGAGCAGGAGCAGAAACAATAATGGGGCCAGTTGTGTCCCTGTGATCGCAATTTCAGGTCTTGGAGGAATAGGAAAGACAAAACTTGCTCGCTACGTGTGCCAGGAACAACATCTTGGCTTGCCTGCTTGGGTTATTGGTACCGAATATAACACTCTCTTTGATGCAGGCAGCATCGCAAGATTGGTCATACGGTCAGTGGTACCGGCAACAGCTACTATACCATCTCCCACGACAAAGACTCTCAACATACTTGTAGTTCTGGATGATTGGAGAGTTGAGATTGACGACAAAGATGTGAAGGAGTTGCAGGAGAAGGTAAAGGAGCATTGGAAAGTTGAGCTTAAAGGCATAGATCAGAAGGCGTTGCAGAAGGAGTTAAAGGAGGATAAGAGAGTTGAGATTGGAGACCAAGATCTGAAGGCGTTGCTGGACAAGTTAAAGGAGGTTCGTCCACGTGTTAGGGCTATCATGATAACTACACGTAGCTGTTTTGTAGCTATGGCTAGGAATATTGCTGCTAGCCCGGTTAAGTCATATGCTTTGCCGGGACTTGATGAAAAGGAAAGTGTGTCTTTGTTCAGGAAAAGTGTGTCTCGTTTTGAGAAAAATCATGGACTAGGTGATGATGATTCAAGCATTACGAAGGTTGTGGCCCAGTGTAGAGGCGTCCCTCTAGCCATAATTACCATGGCAAAATGGTTTGACTCTTTTCGGTCTCAATTGACTGGATTGACGGAGGAACTAATATACTCCTATTACGACCAGGGGCTTCCCCACTCTTGCTTTGCTTATTGTTCATTGTTTCCTCAAGGTTACTTGTTTGATACTGAGAGATTAATTCATCTCTGGATGGCGGAAGGGTTTCTGAAACTCCAACCTTCAGATCCTTCAACGAGCTTTGAATCAGACCCAGAAGAAATTGGTCGCAAGTGCTTGAGGGACTTGGTTGGGAGATCTATATTCCAAGACGTGAAGGTAGACGAGTTTGGCCAAGTGATAAGCTGCAGAATGCACCCGCTAATGCATGACATGGCCAGATTTGTTGCTGGCAGGGAGAACATCACCGTGGATCCAAAAGGGCACAAGGTTCACCGCAAAGTCCTGCGAGCCTCGTTTGATTTGAGCTTAGACTTTTCGCGTGGAATTCCACCTCCCCTTTTTGACAAGGCAAAATCCCTGAGAAGCATTTTTTTCTTCGCCAACACACAGTCTCGACTTCCTATGCAGCTGGATCTGAGTACGTTGGTTCTTGAAAACATCTTCAAGAGCTTCAAGAGGTTGTGTGTGTTGGATCTCCGTGACTTGGGGATCGTGGCGCTGCCGAGCTCTATTGGCGACCTAAAGGACTTGCAGTATCTGGATCTGTCCCAGAATAATATGGAGAAGCTCCCTAGTTCCATCGTCAAGCTTTCCAATTTGGAGACATTGAAACTGTCTCGTTGTTACTCGCTCAAAGAATTGCCAAAGGACTTCAAGAATCTAATTCAACTCAAGCATCTTGACATGGAAGGATGCCTTGGTCTCACTTGCATGCCTCCCAAAATGAGCAAGCTCCAAAAACTAGAGACATTGTCCACTTTTGTGATTGGCAAGAACGACCACACGGCAAGCCTTGAGGAACTCGAAAGGCTCAACGAATTGAGAGGGCAATTGGAGATTTTCTATATGAGCTATGAAAGTGAGGAAACTAGATACTGGGGCCCTAAACCAGAAGAAATTGGTCTTGGTCGTAGGTGTTTAAGGGACAAAACCCACCTTCAACGTCTGAAACTAAAATGGGATCTAGGGGTTAACCGAGGGAACGGATTTCGCCATCTACTTGTAATGGATAGTCTTGAGCCCCATTCTAGCCTAAAAGTACTACTCCTTGTGGGCTACCAAGGTCTCGAGCTTTCTTCTTGGCTCACTTCCACTTCCATCCGATTCGAATGCCTTGTTAAGTTGAGCTTGCAAGATTGTCACGGATGCAAATACATCTCACAAGAGGATGCACTCCCAAAGCAGCTCAAGACTCTCGAACTTATAAGGTTAGATAGTTTGGAATGCGTCGCACAAAATTGTGACAAAGATGCAGCTTTCTATAAAACCCTGATGGAGCTCACAGTTTCGGATTGCCCTAAACTCAAAAGTTGGTGGCAAGAGGAGAAAGATGTAAGCGATAGGCCATTCTTCGCCAAGATTTCAAAACTACATGTCCATCACTGCCCTCTCCTAACTTGCATGCCTCTCTATTTTCATCTTGATAAAAAATCGTCCCTTAAGGTTTCTTTTGGTTCTGGTATAGAGCTAGTCCTTGTGGGTTCCAGTTTTAAATTACTGCTGGATACTATGTCAATGGTGGGTTCGAGTTCGACAGTTAACTACTCCATTCCCCTTGAGAACCTTCACATTCAAAATTGCAATCATTTAGAGAATCTGTCTAATGCTTTCCAGCATCTGAGCTCACTCCAGCGTCTTACGATTGAGAACTGTGCCACGATTAATCTTGACGACCTAGGCAAATGGGAGGGTTTGGAAAGCCTTCGTTTTCTGACGATAAGGAAGATTCCAGTTTTTAGCTCCTTTTCATTTGGCCACAATGTTACCACTCTGCGAGAACTCACCCTTCATAACTGTCATGGGTTAACTTCCATTTCGAATACCATAGGCAAACTTACCTTACTTCGGAGACTGCTGATTTCCAAGTGCAACAACTTGAAGTCGCTGCCAATAGCAATGAAAGAACTCAAGTCTCTGAAGACCTTGCTCATTTTGGACTGCGTCTTGCTACTTCCAAGGTGTCAACCGGAAACCGGCCATGATTGGCCACAAATTTCTCATATCAAACATATCCAAGTGAAGTGATAAAGTTTTCTATTAGCTTGTTCTTGTCCGGGTAAGTACTCATTCAACTCTCCTCACGAGAGATCGTACTAAGGGTTTGATTGGAAAACACACTAATTAACTACTTCAATATACTCATTCAACTCTCCTTACTGTCCTTACTTTGCTTTTAATGAAACACCGTTATTACTTATTAGATTAATTAATTAGGACTTTGGGAATTTTTTTAGAGTTTGCTAGTAGATGGTTAGTAGTTAGTTACTTGCTAATTCTCTATATTAAGTTGTTTTAGATGGATTAATGAAATTACCTTTCTTATTTTTATAATACAATTTATTTCAGCTTTGTATATTTTCTCTGTTTTTTTTTGTTTTTTTTTTTAAACTCTGCCAAGTTCGAAAACAACCATCGAGCTCATTTGGGCACCAGGCAATTGGCACTTGACCCTAGTCAAATAAAATCTATTATACGTATTTTCATTCTAGTTAGTTATATATATGATTGTTTTTGGTACATATCTGCGCCGTTAATTACCGTATCTGATGTTCAGGTTGTCTGAAGGGGGATTGCACGCACGTATGCTGAATTCTGTGCTACATTTCATGATAAACCATCCGATTGTAAGTTTGTAAGAAGAAATAGTACTTCCTCAAAATATCTTACAATTTCTTTTAGCTTCATGGTTCTAAATTGCGGTTATGATCGCGTGGTTGTAGTTACTGCAGTTGTAGCTATTGTGTCTACTCAATGCGAATTAAAATTGTTGTGGTGTGAAATTATTATACATTTGCATGTATATAAATAAATAATTAGATCTCATTTTCTTTATTTTTTTCAGTTATCTCTTTTTCCCTTTATTAAAATACATCATGTACATCCCAACCTTCTAACCAAATGTTATTAGTTGTCTTTTTTCTTCTCTTAATATCTCATGTAACCAAATTTATTAGAATAGAATATTAAAACGAATTTATTGTTGGAACAAAAAAACTTCTTTTCTTTAACGTATAATAATGATGATGAGAAGCATATCAAAATAATACTATAAAAGAAATAGAAAAAAGACCACACAAATTTATTTAACGTAGTTCAGCCCTTCATCTCTACGCTCACAAAGATGTTCATTATTTATTTCAAAATGTGTTACATATATATTGAAAATCATCTCTTCAAGTTTTGTGGGTTAAACTTGAAAACCTCCTCCCCACAAGTTTTATAGATAAAACTTAGAAATTCTTTTCTCACAAGTTTTCTGGTGAAACTCAAAAATCATCATTCACAAGTTTTCTAACGAAACTTGGAAACCCTTTTCCATATGACCTCCTCTCTCATTTAAGGCAGTCACCCCTTCTACAGGTCGGGTGATTCTTCTTATCTCAAGAGTCTTTAATTATTGACCTTATATCACTATTTTAAAAAAAGAAATAAATTTCTAAAATAAATACAATATATTTCAATTCTAAACAATATCCTAAAAGAAACAATATCTTTTAAAATCTAAATAATATCTCATAGATTTGAATTTAAAAATTTAAATTGTTTTCTCAATATTTATGTATGTATTTTGACATAAAAAATAGAATAAAATGATATTACGAATCTATTGTGGTTGTATTGCCATTATATTGTGGTTGAATTGCAAAATTTTAGTGATTTAAAATTACACTGCAATTGCGGGCTGTTGTTGTGATTGTGGTAAACATCCACTGATTTTTTCATTTAACCTTTTCAAGATGAAACGGATACATTAACTTGGTTTGATTAGATCATATTAAATTTGCAGCGATAATGTATATCTAACTAAATATTAACTATTCTAGTAAATGAATTCATGTAAGTTCTAGGAATTTGATATATATTGTGGTACTCATAGGAGGGGTGGGGGGCAAAAGAGTGTATGCATGATATCTTCAATTTCTTGGCTAAATAACTCTACTATTTAGGTATTTTAATTATTTCCTGCACATCAATCACTTGTCGAAATGTATTATTGCTGCCAACTAGTTGATGGTTTTTGTCCAATTAGTTATGATTTAGCACTGAAGTTCTCAACTCCAAGGGCCTTTGATCAGTTAATAAGCACTTGTTATTGGTTCCGTTCACTTTATATATGTTGCATACATATTGAATTGAAAATGTCGAAGAAGAGGCCTAGCAGTGATGGTACTAGGACAATAACTGGAATACTTCCGAGTGACATGGCTGCTATTATGACTCGCTGATATTCTTTTAGCAGCATAACAAGTAAAGCACAAATTGCTACCATCATTGCCACCATAGACAAGAAAAGGGTCACAAGGCCGAAAAATAACTTCAATGGCAATGTCTTGAGAAAATCTTTCTCAGCATAACGTGATGCGAGGATCCCAAGAAAAACCAGGACTGAAGTGGAAGAGGAAAAGATAGATATTACATCTGCTATAATAAACAAGGTCAATATGTGGTCATGTAAGAAGATGGGTACTCCAGTTTCTTGATTGTTTCCACCGGAGATAGTGAATGTCGCAGCAAACATGATTATAATTATGAAAGTTCCTACAAGAGTAAAAGAAATAGCGGTGTCTTTTGCCCATTTCTCACCGGTTTTCACCATCTCCACGTGACTTTCACTAAATACCTCATGGGGTCTTTTACCATTTGCATTTTTCTCTTCCTTACATTTAGGATGCACAATTTTCTCAACAGCCTGCGTTATAAAATGTTACAAGATGTTTAATCATGTAGAGCATATACTCTAAAAGGGATATAATTAAAACTTTCGAGTGCATTTAATACAATTAATTAATCAAATCAACAATGAGAATGAGTAGCAAAGAATTTCATGTTCTTTATTTTTAAGACATAAAAGTAAGAACTGATATTTATTAAAATAAAATTTAAAATTAGCACATTGGTTTTGGTATACTTTCTTCAGGTTTCAATAATTTTTTTCAATAATAAGGTTACTTTAGTTCTTGTTAAAAAATCGTTTTATAGTAAGATATCTATCTAAAGTTTCTGTTGCTAGGTCAAATACACAAGTTTAATTTTAATATGTTGTTACTGTAATTTTTTTATCTTGTCAATTAATTAAAAAATATTTTAAATATAATTTTTAAAATAATTATTACAAATATATGGATCAAATCTGTCAATTTTTATAAAAATTAAAAATTATTTGATAATCTGTTTCATTAATTCAAATTTTTAGATAATCATAAAAATATTTTATACATTAATTTAAATTAACAAAATAAAATATTAAATAATTTTTAAATTTTTTAAAATTTTACAAACTTGACTTATATATTAAAAATTTTAATTTAATAATTAAATTATCAAATTACTATAAAATATAAGTTATTAAATAAAATAGATCTTAATAAATTTAGATTTAGAGTAAGTAAGTCTATGATAGATATGTGTCTTTGTTTATATGTTGGGAGAAAAGATGAATTACCTTGAACCATTGAAGATCCCTTTGTATTAGGAGAGCAGCTCCAGATTTGTGATGAGAGGAAGGTCCTAGATATGCTGCCAAGTGCAACAGGGTATTGCCAAAGACGTCTTTGCGACATTTAATTATCTCCTTCCGTCCATTATTTAAACCATTTATAAGGTGGAAGACATCTTTTTTACGATTCAAAATTGCATGCGAAAATATGTCTCTCTTGTTTTTATCAATGGCCCATAAGAGGTCAGGATTAGCTTTCCTCATTGCATCTATGAACTCAACAATTCCAAGCTTTGCTGCCTGCAACATGGCATCATACGCTGAAGCCTCCCGGAGTTGTGATTCCTTGTAATCTGAAATTCTTTTGCACAAGCACTTCAATATTTCAAGAACTAGACAGTGGGTCCTTTTATGTTCATATATTTCCCTATGTCCTGGGAGAATTAATTGTGGGGTCAGTGTTGAAGTCGTAAATTAGAATAAAATAATATTAAAGCAACAGTGGGTCAGGGAAATAATTAACTGGCCAGACTTATATATGAATTTTCGTCTATATAATTTATCATCCTTCTCATTTTCTTTCTTGTAAAAAATTCCAAAATCATCTTTATAAAACTCAAACATTTGGATATTAATTATTAGTATTATGTAAATAATAATGTCATGTTATTGGTAAAACATATTATGGTGTTATGTAAATAATAGTGTTATTCTTTCCATCTTTCTCTATTTTTTTTTTCTCGTTCAACATTATATGGCCAAAAATATTCTATAAATAGATCATATATATTAATTAACTTAAAACTAACATTAACAATAGTTTTTGTTAGCCTAAATTCTATACATACTACAATAGATTTTAAGAACTCAATTAGAATTTGTTGGTATTAAAATCCATTGCTAATGACTAATTTAGTTTAGGATTGAGGATTTATGATAATTAAGATAGACTTATTTTAATGATAATAAAAATTTAATTCAACTTATAAAATTGACTTGTAAGATGAGAGATGAATAATTTAAGTTTTAAAACTTTTACTTAAATTATATCACTTGTTGATGTAAGACCAAATTATCATTACTTGAGAATGCAATTAATTAAAGCAAACTCCAAAAGAGATTATATTTAAGACATGTTCAGGTTAGGGTAACTAGAATTCAATTAAGGCCTAAAATGTGTATTTTTTTTTCTATGATATGTATATTGATGTAAAAAAGGGAAGGAATGATTTATGTGGTGAATGAGAGATCTTGAAGTGTTAATATAAAATGTGTAAGTAACGTTATAGTCTTGAACAATGAAAAACAAAAAGAGAGAAAAAAAATGATTATTAAAAAAATGGAATTTTAATATTTAAGACTAAAATATTTTTTGTGCCTAATAATATGTCTTTTTTTTTAGTCCATGGTTTTTTCCTTCCATTTTTCATAAGCTAAATTACTATTTTGGTCCCTTAATTTATTCAATTCAATCCCTCTAATATTAAAATGTTCAATTTGATCTCTTAATTTTCTAAAATGATGTAATGTGATTATTTTTGTGCAATTGAGACAAACAACTTTAATTCTTTTAGATGTAGCCCTATGTGTCCTTATTTTATTGTGTCATGTGTATAAAAAATTAACATGTTAATTTCAAGTTGATCAAAAAGGATCACATTGCATCATTTTGAAAGATAAAGTGACCAAATTAAAATTTTCAATAATAGAATAATCAAATTAAATAAATTGAGGGGTAAAATAATAATTTAATACTTTTAATACCTTTAAATTAATATTTTTCTTGTAATTATTTTCATTTCAATCTTTTTATTATACTACTAATATGACAATATTACTGATACGACATTAATGACATGAAATTACACTATTATAACACTAAAGACATTATGTTAACATGACATAAAATAATGTTAAATATCATGTAACATTTTTATTACATGACACATGATGATATAACCATAACATTATCAAATTAACATTTTTATATAATCATATTTGACGACATAAACTAAAATGAAATGTTTAGGCTTTATAAGAATGATATTCCAATTTTTTTTTTACAAGAATGTAAAATGAAAATCTCTAATTTATATAGACGAAAATCATATTTAAATTTATTATTTTACATAATTTAAAATTTCCAAAAATACATTACTACTATCTATTTAGAATAAATTAAAACTACGCACGTGAAGATTAGTCAAATTTATTCCATATTTTTTTCATTTCGTACTAACTCTAATACATTGTATTCATACATTTGTTTTCTAAGAAACAAATCACACCATATATAATCTTATAAGTTTTTATAAACGTTTAAAAAACATAAGTTCGTGTGAAGAAATATTAAGGTATAATTTGCTCTATCATTTATCGTTAACAATTTGATAAAACAAGGGGAAAAACAAGTTAAACAAAATAAATTCAATTTGTATTGACGTACCTGTGAAGAACTTCAAAAGTATAAAATGTTGAAATAACAGATACACCGATATAAGCAGCAGACCTGGAAAGAAAGAAAACAAATAAAGATGTTGATTAACGCATATACATTCCATCGTGGCGCACAACGGAGAATTCCTCAGATAAACAGAACACACATACCTAAGAGCTTTATGGGAGGAAAATTCAAAGCCAATGCATAGAACCTTCCTAAAGAAAAGCAACACATAAAATATTATACAAATAAGATTAAGAGTAATGCTGTTGTAGATTTCGAAATAAAAAGCCAAATCATCTTCCGAATTAATTATTGTCAAAATTTTTATAATATAATATTTACTAACGTTGGTTCGTACATACCTGCAAAAGAGGTATTATCTTTGCCTTCCTGTTGAGCAACATTTAGGTCTTCTATTTGAGTAACATCCGGCACAATCCGAAGGCTTATTCGGAACCAGTTTTGCAGCTTTATCTCTGCTTTTTCTAATCTTAAAACTAAAAACATAAGTTAATTAGCCTTACTTGAGCACTCTATTATTCAAAGTACAAAATTTAGGTAGAGTATCATAATTCATAAGTACTCTAAACATTATTCTCTAATTAAAATTTTGTTATTTAATATAAATTAAAATTTTTAATGATAATCAAGTGACATATTGATCTAAGATGATTTAATATTTCATTTTTATAATTCATATTTTTTTTATATTTTAAAATTTATATATTATATCAATTTTATTTTATAAAAATGAAGTATCATATCATCTTTGATTAATATAAATTTTATATACATAATCTAAACCGTCTTCACACACACACATACACACACACACATATATATAGAATTTATAGATTAACTAACGTCAAATTGTTTCTGTTTAGTTTTAAGCTAAAATTCTCTCTCTCTCTCTCATATATATATATATATATATTCGTTTGATAAGAGAGTAATATCATAAAAATATAATAAAAAATTTTACTGTATGTATTTATTTAAGATTACTGCATTCATTTTTAAAGAATGACAAGTACAATTTTTCTTATACTAAAATTCAAATTTTATATAAATTTAATTATGTATTAATTTTTTTGAACTTAACTCTTTTAAAATAAAGTATGCACTTTAGTTGCATACATCAGAACCTTTAAGCAAAAAAGAAAATATAAATAAAGTTCAATAAAGAAGAAAAAGATAAAATGTGACAACTTACAATTATAAATGAGTTGTTGTCGAAGTCCAAATTCGCAGCCGCTAGGAAATGCAGAAGGCATGCATGCCAATGCGTATAAGGGCCGTAGACTATTGGATTCAACGGTGAGAGGCAGTTGTGGAACACGATGGATTAAACTCAAAGCTACATCTAGTTGGTCAAATCAACACAAGTTCTATATTCAATATAAGCAGGCAGAAATATATGTAATATTTTTTAAGTTGAAATTTGTCTTATAAGTTCGTCACTTTACCCGATCCAATTTTCATCTATTTTGACTTATTTCAACATGTTATTTTTAATTTTTTTCAAGTTAAATATATAATTTTGTCCTTTCCTGTGTTACAAATTTTCAATTTAATTCTTATACACAAAAACTTATTAAATTAGGTTTGTTAAATATTATCGACTTGATCTTTCACATTGTTAACTTCATTATACATTGTTAATTTAATTCTTATACAAGTAATACACTCTTAATTTGGTCCTTATCTATATAATATATTTTTAATTTGACCTATATAAATAAAGGATTAAATTAAGAATGTGTTAATATTGTAGGGTCTAAATTAAAAATGTATTACATATATAAGAACTAAATTAAAAATATATAAGAGAATTAATAGTTTTAGAGATCAAATCAATAATATTTATATATATTTAATAAATTTTTATATATACACACCAAGTTGAGAATCTATATCATGTATACTAACTGAATTATATATATATTTAACTTTTTTTAATAATCAAAAGATAATATTATATAATATTAAAGAATTTTGTTAAAGTTAATGTGGCAAAATAATCCTTTGACTTATCTTGAATTACTCATTTTCTACCCTTTTAGTTTTAATTATTCCAACACTAATCTAGTGGTGTATTACTCCTACATAGTATGTTAGTAAGAACTTTATTATTATGGGAAATAACAAAAAAACATTAAATTATATTTAAATGATTATTATTAGAAGATAAATGTATACGAATTTTTTAAGTGGCTATGAATAACACTTGCAACTAAATAGCAAAACACAAACATAACTGATTAATTAAGAGGGATATGTAGTTTAGAGCTATTGCTTACCAAATATTTTGGCAGTGATGCATTGTGTAAGAAGCAAAACTCCGTAGTGTGAATTATTATGGAGGAATACGTTTAAGTGAGTTTGCTGGTAAAGATAGCGAGTCATTTCCTTGTGACCTTTAACAGCAGAAAGAAGAACAGGAATTTCATTGTCTTTGGTCTTGATGGTTAGAAGATCTCGACCTCCATAATTTCCAACCATGCACCTTGCAATGTTAACGTTTCCAGTTAAATCAGCAGCGAGAGCAAGAGCAGTGTAATCAAAATTATCTTGCATTTTCAGTAATTTATGTCTCCCTAAATTGACTAATTTCTCCACAATGTGTTCATGCCCGGCAATTACAGCAACATGAAGAACAGTTCTCCCCATAGAGGACGTGGAAAATATAGCCTCATAGTTCCCATTGATGATTGATCTTGCAGGATTCCACTCACCGCTCTCCACATATCTGTGCAACGGTTTATTGTGTAGGAGACTGCCATCGTCCATACCTGCCACGTAAACCATACAGCAAATTATTATGGAAGCTCAAAATATATAAAGGCTCTACATTTGATAATAAAAGTACCTTAAATATATTTTTAATTCTTATTATTTTGATAATTTTATATTATTTCTATAAAAAAGAAATTATTTTTCATCTTTTTAAATTTTATAAATATTATCTTCTTTTTTCAAAATAAATAAATTTTAATTTTAATTTCTGTAAAAAAAAATTATTTTTATTCTCTAAAATTTAAACTTATTATTTTTAGTCTTCGTTTTAATATATATAAAATATTTATATTAATGACTTATAATTTTTTTTAAAAATGTTAAATATTAATATAATATTAATAATGGTTGTAGAAAATATTTAAAATGGTTAATTAACTTTTAATAAATAAAAATAATTAAAAATATCAAAATTAATATGTTGTCAAAGCATGTATATATCCAATTCTTCAATTATGGTGACTACTCTTTTTGATACATATTTTTGCCTTAATAGTAACAGTTATAATAAATCAATAAATACAATATATTGTTTAATTATACCTATTTGCATTAATGGTAAAACCGTAAAGTTATAATTAAACAATAATTACAAATTATTTTATATAATCCATTATTTTTTTAATTAGTGGTTTTTTTTTACACCAGTTAGTGGATTTTGTTAAGATGTATGTTTTATGTAAGATTTACCTAAAAAAAATATATGTTTTATATGTAATCAATTCTTGTATATTAAATGCAAATAATTATCATGTGCAAGAAGAGTTTTAGGAGTTCTTTTTTGATAAAATATTTTTTAAGAGTTTATTTTTAATTTTTTATTTATCATAATTATTTATCAACTAAATTTTAATGTTATTAAAATAAATTATCGATAAATAAAATAATTTTGTGCTACACTATAAGTTATTATAATTCTAAAATATAATTTATATATTTAAAAATATCTATTTACACATATTTAAGCACTTTATAGATTTAACTATGTTTTTAGTTCCAGCAAAATGAACAAGTTTTTATTTTGACTTCTATAAAATATTTTCTTTACTTTTTATCCTTCTAAAATTTAGAATTATTATTTTTAATCTCTACTATTATATAGTCATTTTTAAATACTTAATTGTTCATATTAAAAGATTAAGTGATAATCTCAGATATTATTCACAATTGTTAGTAATACCAAATTAGTATATGACATATGTAAAAAGTTTCACAAATTTTTAAAATAAATATTAATTGTATATCTTAAAACCATTCTTAATTAATGATAGAAACAATAATTTTAAATTTTAGAGAGTTGAAACTTAAAGAATGATATTTCTATAAAGACCAAAACTAAAATTTATTCATTTTATAATAATAAAACATATTTATAATTAAAAATAATATTTAAAGTTTTTAAAAAAATAAAAAAAATTACAGAGACCACAATCTAAACTTATTTATCTTACCAAAACTAAAAATATACTTAAGTCATATTTATATATATAATTTATTATAAATTTTAGTTATATATAATAAATATTTAAATATAAATCAAATAAAATAGTAATATATATATA